ATTACTTTTACTCTTGCTCCAATCCATCTCCTCTGCTTCCGCATCGTCTATGAAGACAGAAAATAAGCTCCCTCGGGTCATGTATTTGTAGATTAGAAACATGCAGCGATTGTGGAGACAAACCATGAAGCTTCACGATGTTCTTGTGTTGTATCTCAGATAACATTTTGGTCTCGTTCTTGAAACTCTTGTCAAAAGCTGGGACCTCTGTTCTGCAGTGAAGTTTCTTCAATTACCTTAAAGCATTAGGCTGAAAATGAATCCCATGTTTGTTGATCTTCCCCACTCGAATTGAAACCAAAGGTATGCAAAAACACGTCGCCAGTATACCAACTTCCGATGGCTCAAAGTGCTGAGATTTTATGAAAACAAATCAAATTAAACACACAAGTAAACCAAATCGAAAATTTTACGAAGCAAGTACAAATTTCAACTAAATTTTCATGTTAAGAGTTCAATTAAAACGGATAAACAAAAGCTTCAAATTTATCAATATACCTGACTCAAATGAGCTAACAATCGATCCTCGGCAAAGCCGTTTGAGACACTGATTTTCAACAAGGGCTTTAACCTTTCATTGGTCCGCCAGGCGCCTATTACTTGCATATCCAAAGCTTGTAACCATAGCAAAATCCTATCCTCTCGATCGCTTTGTTGAATCAGCAAATGTCCATCGTTTTCCTCAACGAATATGTCGGTTAACCGCTCCGTGAGTCCGATTCCGTTCCTTTCCTCGCCGTTCTGTCTCGATGCCGTTCCAGAGGCCTCGACAATTCCGTTCATTGAAGACGACGCGTCCGATGAATCGATCATTTCGTTACATTTTTATCCAAGCGATCGTCAACGAATTCACGGTTTCTAGAATTAGACATCGTAGAATTCAAACAACAACAAAAATACTTCAAGAAATCAAATTCTTCGATTGATCGCGAAAAGAAATATGAAATTAAAAGGGTCAAGTTCGAACGGAGAAAGCATCAAAGGAAGTGATTTTAGATAGAGTGAGAGGGGAAGATTTTAGAGAGAGACGAAAATATCCCCCCACAAAAATGGTTTAATTAAATATTAAGGCGATCCCCTGAAATTTGATATAAAGTCTATCATAATCATTTTTTATTAAACAATTAAAATATTATTTTATAAACGGTTATAACTTTAATTTTGAAAATTGAGGATTTTGAATTGATTTGGATTAAATTGATAGGAGTTGCCATCGATATTTGGGTTAGGTAGGTCGAATAACTAAAAACGTCTTTTAAAAATAATTTTAAGAAAAATTATTTTTAAGACAAAAAGCTGGTCTTCGTTTACAAAGATTCACTTAAAACGGATTCGGGAGTCTGTTACTCATGAGGAATGATAAGCACCCCACAACGCCCAAAATTGATACTTAAATCGCTTGCACATTGTCGTAAATGGTGAAAATTAAGAATCGAATTTTAAATTAAAATATTATCCATTTATTGAAATTTAATTAATTTTCTTCGAATTAATTATTTAAAAAAAATCCTTTTACTCTATAATAAATCTTAAAATTCGTAACCCTCCGTCAGTAAAACTATTTTAACTATTTCTCATTCGTAAAAGAATATTCTATCTCTGAATAACGCATATCAAAATAAAAATGAATATTGACTTTTGCATAAAAATAAAATAAATTAATAAAAACACATTGAATCATTCACACAAAAATATTTAATTGATAAAATAAAATAGATTTATTTCAAGTTCCATGTCATTAAAATGTCGTACTGGATCGCACCACTTCAACCAAGTGATGCTTTCCACGCTCATTCTACACATACGTGTTCTTGAAAATATTGAATAATATTAATATTTAAGGGAATACAATATAAACAATGACAATTTGAAACATGCGAAATAAAAATATTTACAATAAATAGAGATAAACATATTTATTTATATGTGATACAAGTGAATACATAACATATAAAATGTACATACATAAGGAATTAAAATAAAAGCAAATTAATATTACAAACCAAAATTTAATGACCAAAAAGTAAGTACTTGAAATTACAAGGACCAAATAGCAAAAACATAAACTCAAAGGACCAAAATAGTACAAACATGAATTTAAAGGACTAAAATGGAAAAAAACAAAAAACTTAAATGGCTAAAATAGTAAAAACAGAAACTTAAGGGTCTAAATAATAAATACAGACATTTAAAGGACTAGAATAACAAAAATAGAAACTTAAGGGACTAAATAGCAAAAATATAAAGTTAAAGGACCAAAATAGCACAAACAAAATTTAAAGGATTGAATCATAAATATACATAAACAAGAGCCAAAAAAGAAAATATTAAACAGTATAGGTACTATAAATGAAAATAATCCATAAATCATATTAGGGACCAAAATAAAATGAACATAAACATAAAGGATCAGATAATAATTAAACCAAATGCCCAAACAGTTACTAAAATAAAATGTTTACAAATACAAGGCCAAAATCGAATATCAAAGAATATACACAACACCTAACATCAGTGACTAAAATGAAACATTTAAAAATATTAGGATTATAGTCAAATAGTTACAGAAATGTATAATACATAACACAGTGACTAAAATATAAGTACAGAAACATAAGTTCTCAAAAAGAAATAAAATAAACTTTCATTTCATGGTTAAACAAAAATATTATAAAGAATGGAGGACTAAACGTGTAGTTATCCCATAATGAGAAAACACGGAACCCCTTTGGCCTAAACGACGAGGTTTTGAGTTTGATATTTAAATAATACCCAAGGTCAAAAATGGCCAAAACCCCTTTCATTTGCTCTCATCTCAGAAAATAGGGAATCGCACGACATCAAGGTTTCGGTCGATTAGCGGCGTTGGTGGTAGACGACGATTATAAGAGATTAAAATTAGAGTTTTCTTTAGATTTGGGATTTTTTATAATTTCAAGAAATATTAGATTTTTTTAAAATAAAATTTAATTTTAAGTATTTTTAAAAAAAATTATATGTCTCACACTGGTCAAATAACAATATTTTTTAATAGTTGTTATAGCACAGATACCTAAAAATAAAACGTCGAAAACGTTAGATACTTAAAATTGTAACAAAAAAAAAACGTTATACATCTATTTTTAACAAACAAAAAAACTTTACACCTAAAGTTAACTTTAAATATAATTTGAGTACTTATTTTTACATTAAGCATTTTTAAATAAGTATAATACGTTATTTAATAAAACTCATGATTTAACTATGATGTAGATTTAATTTTTTTTATATTTTATTTTTCTGAAAATTAACTATAATTTATTATTATAATTTAATTTAAAATAAAATAAAAAATTATATGCTAGATTTATAGAATTTAGGATATTTTTTATGAAATATACCATAGATTTACATTTAGGAGGTAAAAAAATAAATAAATTGAAAATTTTAAGTTCAATAATAGTTAGCAATAAAAACGATGGCGATAGACAACTATCGATGATGGTGATAAGCGACCATTAATAGTGATTAATGATGATGATATACAATTAATACTGATAAGAGATTTTGATCATATTCATAGGTTTAATTAATATTTTATCTAAATTTTAAAAAATAATAATAATTAACTCTGTTTACCAATATTTTTAAAATCGGATCGGACATTGAACCGATGAATGTATTGGTTCATTGGTTTAACCGAGTTCAACCGCGGTTGAACCGAATTTTATATAAAATAATATATTTTTTTAATTTTACATAATATTCAAAGCAATATTAATATATATGTAACATTTTTTTTAAGTTTACAATATTAAAAAGTATAAAAATATCACAAGTCATAACATGTATAAATGAAAAACCATAAAATCAAGTGAAACAAAATGATTCAAATAAACTATAACATAATATTTAAGGTAAAACATATTAAATAATAAATTTAATTATATAACTATAATCAAAAAATAAAATTGGGGCTTAAAAAAATCATAACAAATGATGTCATTTGGTTTAATTGTTTTAAAAAAAATAATTCCACATGACTAAGAAACATAGAAGAGTATCTTACATCCCAACTTACTTCTATAAATAATAGAGGTAATTTGACATTCAAAATCATAAAGCCTTTTGGTGAGCACAAAGTGAACTATTCTTTCGCTTCAATTGAGCTCAAATTTTAAGCTTCAATCGAACTTCTAGATTTTTTTTTGAGTTCGAGCCTTTTCGGTTTCAAGTTTTAATATTATATTTCGAGTTGATAATTTTTAGCTCGTGAGTTTTTGAGTCGAGTTGAGCTTACTTTTAAAGTTTTCGAGTTCGAGTTGAGCTCAGCAATACTCGAATTTGACTCGGCTCGTTAAACAAACAACGTCGTTTGATTTAATTTTTTTTTTAAGAAAAAAAGTGAATCGGCGGTTCAAATCGGTTTTCAGCCGGTTCACCCCGATTTTCCCGGTTTTCAGCCGGTTCTTCCGGTTCTTTACCGATTATGTGCTAATCCGATTTTGGAAGTTAACCGGACCGGACAGATCACCGATTCACGGTTCAATCGATCGAATCGGCCGATCCAATCTGATTTTAATAACATTGCTTTCTACTATCATAAAATTTCATCGAATTAATAAATTTTCACATTTTAATTAATAAAAAGTTTTAAATAAATAATATAAATAATAAAAAGTTTTAAATAAATAATAAAATAATAAAAAGTTTTAAATAAATAATATAAATAATTACATAATATTTTTATAATTTAATGATAAAAAAGTGACCACTTATCAAATAAAAGTGACCATTCCAATAGTTTACCCTGTAGTATACTTTTTGCAGACGGATACACGCATAGAAACCTGCCAACCACTAAGGCTAAAATCGTCATTGTATTCCTCTTTTCTTTCCCCCATTCCTAAATCCTAAGCAAACTTCAGGCCTCCCAATTTGTCAAAAATATCCTGCGCACCACTCGAGTCGGTGCACGTTAGCATAATCTCCTACGAAAAGCCATCGCCACCGCTACCGTCATGGCGACTCACTCCCGACCGCCTCCACCGAGACCACTCGACCTCGAACTCACGATCGTGTCAGCCAAGCATCTGAAAAACGTCAACTGGCAAAACGGCGATCTAAAGCCCTACGCAGTATTCTGGCACGATCCAGACCGACGTCTCTCGACCCGATCAGACGATTCTGGCTCAACCCGACCGGTTTGGAACGAGCGTTTCACCCTTCCCCTCGTTGTTCCTTTCCACGACGCCGTTTTGACCCTCGAGATCTTCCACTCCAAACCCTCGGAAACCCCGAAGCCTTTGGTGGCCACCTTCCGGGTTGAACTCAAGGACTTACCGGACCCGGATGACAGTTCCAAGATCCGAACCTTTTCTCTCCGACCATCGGGTCGTCTCCAAGGTAAGATCCGAGTGAAACTCGGGATCCGAGAACGTCCCCTTCCTCCACCTCATGATTACCATTTTGCTCCCCCTCCTAGCTATTATTACACAAATGCCCCTCCTCCACCTAGATACTCTGCCCCACCCTACGTCTCTCTTCCCCCGCCGTCAACCTCTCCTCCTCCGCCAACAACGCCTTACTCGTCCGTCCCTGAGGGTTACCCTCCCTATTACTCCAGCCATTGCTACTCCTCCCCGCCCCCGCCCATGCCTCCACGTCCCTTCTTTGAACGAGCTTCCAGATATGGCACTCCATCAGCGCCGGTAGATTACTCCCCGTACGATCAAAAGCCTCGAGGAGGCTCCAAAGTTGGGCTGGGAACTGGATTAGCTGTTGGAGCTGTGGCCGGGGCTTTAGGTGGAATGGCGTTAGAAGAAGGATTGAAATACGAAGAAGAAAAGATTGGTGAAAGGGTCGAGCATGAAGTGACTTCAAAGGAAAGGGATGATTATAGTGATTATCACCGCCCTGATTATTGATGGGTTTTTTAAGGCAATGATGATGGTGATGAAGATTATGATGGTCATGTCTTACATTTATAAGTATTTGTGTATATAATTTGTGATCTGATAATGGGTTTGTGTTTTTATGTTTTGGATTAAATTGATCACAGAGTGAGCTGAGAATAACTCTTTTGTTGTGTATTATGTCCTAATTTCTTCTGCTACAAGAATAAATTGTTAGTGTTTACTTCAAAAGTTTAACATTTGTTGTACGTTTTATGTTTAATCTTTTGCCTTTTTGTTAGTTAGTTGTTGAATGATTTCTGGCTTATTGAATGTGATCGTCGGCGATTGAACATGAAAAATAGGATTGACAGTGTGGTTTACAAATGCTTGCTTCATCAAGCTTTGCCGGATAATGCTCAAAAGACTTCTATCGGTATATGTTGAATTGTATGCATTTTAGAAGCTTATCGTACAATGAGATTTCCATGTGATTTATGCAGGTTTAAATGTCATGTCGATTGAGTCATATTTGATTTTCTTGGGGATTTAAATGTCAGAGTCGCATTTCCTAGTACCTTATATCTGATGCTCGGAGGAATACGAACTAGGAAACAAGTTCTTTATTGACTTATTACTACCTTTGATATAGATAGTAGTCTCTGTACCTCTTCATGTTGCTGCCAAGATCTGTATGCTTTTTAACTGTCTAGCGATAGCATTTACAATTTGTATGGCATGTTTGATATTACATTGAATTCTAGAACAAATAGAGTTATCCTTTTAGTTAACATTGACTTGTAAGTCGATTTGAAGACAAATTCAAGTATAGGTTATTCAAGGTAAATGCATGGATCAAATGGATGCTATGGCATCGTGATAGGGGTCTTCATCTTACTATATGCAACAGCTTGGGATAACTGGGAAAGGATCTGGGACATACTCTGGATTATTAATGCCCAAATTTACTTTTCGAGTCAAGTATTAGTGTCGCTACTGTGAGAGCAACATTACCTGTTGTAGAGCCTTTGTCTGAAATTACCAGACGTAGTGTCGATGTAAGCACACCTCTGGCAGTGCACCTAATGAGACTATGAAATGGAAGGGGGAAGACCTCGACTCCAATCCAGAAAACGAGGAAGGGGGTTGACACTGGTCACTGGAAGGAAGTCACAATTATCTTCCTCTGGTAAATTATTTGCCCCATCTGTATGTCTTGTTTACAGATTGATAATGCTAATTGTAACTTGAAGCCGCAGCTTAACCTAGTGGAAATAAGCTTAACGTTTATATTTTAGTCAGCTTAATGTATGTTTCAGTTGTTATTTGTAGGGTCTTTGGAGGATCATACTCAGTACAGAATTACAGATATATATAGGGCGTGGAGCACAAGGATGCGAGAGAACAGGTTAATCTGTTCTTTTCGTGCTGCATTCTATAGTCTTTTAACCACTGCTGCATGATGTTGAATCTGTTGTGGACGCGTTCAGAATAAGTGCAAGAGATACGATAGTATTAGCCTAGAACAAAAATTTAGAGTAATTGAATCGAGAATCGATAGGCTAATAGTCGAAAGAGTTGGAAACCATTTTTTTTTCACATAATGCTTAAATTATTCATACTTCTCGTCTCCAAACTTTTAATTCAGAGGATGCCAAATGTTTAAGCGTACTCGAACCGTCCTCTTGAATGCCGTAATAATAATCATATTAGCCAAAGATTGAAGAAGCTAGTCGGGACTGAATTTGGAGTACCTGCTTCACAATAATTCACATTCTTCATTCATTTTTAATTTTTGCTTTAGGTTTACGAGTAGAAAATAGATTAAAGGCTTTATAAATGGTCAAATTGTGATTTTGGTGACGGCTGTGTAACACACAAGCAGCTGGAGCTAAAGGAATCGTCGTAAAACAGCAAAGGAAAATCTAAATATCCGGTGACCTTTCGCAACACTTTCCACGACGATTGGCATAGTTTCACGGTGGGTGGGAGATTAGGTTTTGGTGGCGACAACGAGACGATTCTGATGGTACGGTGACGATCACGGGCCGACGGTGGCCGATTGACTGTGAAAAAATAAATTGAGTTTTATTTTTAAATTATAATATTAAGTGTGTTTTAAATAATTTTTTAAAATTTTATATGCATGATATGTGTTTGATCAAATTTAATGGTGGTTATGATCTAGACACCTAAAAGTGTAACGTTGGAAATGATAGACACCTATTTCTAACGAAATATTCTTTTGACACCAACAGTCAATTTAGAGTATAGTTTAGACACTTAATTTGTATTAAGCTTTTAATTAGTTAATGATATTATCAATTTGATTGAATGAAAATAATATATATTAAAAATTAGGTTATGTCATTAAAATAGTAGGATTGAATGTCATTTGAGAAAAGTAGAGGGGACTCTAATCAAAATTTGATCCTTTTTGAATTGAAGAATTTCATGTTTGGTGGGCTTTTTAAGGCCCACAAGCACATTTATTATTATCCCTTTCTCAATCAAAGCGCACTCTATCACTTTTGTCGGTAATAGATATTGGCTAAGCTCAAGTCGTCAGTATTGTATTTTGCTCTCTTCTGCAGTCGGCTCCAATCAGTCAATCCATACTTTTTCATGGCTTCTTCTTCATCTTTATCTTCTGGTCCAATGAAACATCAAGTTTTCTTGAGCTTCAGAGGTGAAGACACGCGCCTTAACTTCACCAGTCATCTACTCGAAGCTTTGAAAGCCACGGGAATGAACGTCTTCTTCGATGAAGAGAAATTGGAAAAAGGGGAGCAACTTTCACAAGCACTTTCTCAAGCAATCGCAGCCTCGAGTCTCTCCTTAATCGTTCTATCTAATGATTACGCTTCTTCGAAATCATGTTTGGCTGAACTCTTTGACATCATGGACTATAAGGACACTCGAGGACATATTGTTCTTCCCATCTTTTATCATGTTGATCCTTCTGATGTGCGAAATCTTGGTGGAGGTTTCAAGAAATCCTTTGAACACCATGAATTGAAAGGGCTAGATCAAGTACATAGATGGAAAGTTGCCTTCTCCGGAGTTGGTAAATTAAAATGATGGCATATAGAAGGAGGCAAATTTGACAGGTAACTCAATTTTTTTGACTTATCTTTGTTTTAGCTTTCATATATAATTACAATTTTTTTTAATTATCTGATAGACCTGAAACCGAGTACATCAAGGATATCATTAAGTATGTATTAAAAAGGTTGATGAATAGCAAGATTAGAAGAACTTCTGAAGAATTGGTTGGAATAGATGATCAGAAGAACATGATTTTGGGTATGATTAAGCAAGAAGAGAGTCGTGTAATAGGACTGTGGGGAATGGGTGGTATAGGCAAAACAACCCTTGCTGATGTTGTTTATAAGGAAGCCTCTCCAAACTTTGGATCTCGTTGCTTTCTTCAAAATGTAAGTGAGAAAATAAAAAACCAAGGGTGGGTAACTTTACGAAATGAGCTTCTTTCCAAGCTCTTAAATGAAAAGGAAATTCGTATTGACACCATTTCGATAGAATATCCTTACCAAGAGAGGCTGAACAATAAGAGAGTAATTGTTGTCCTTGATGATGTTAGTGACCAGGACCATATAGATTACATGGGTGTTAAACATTTTGGTCCTGGAAGTAAAATTGTTGTAACATCTAGAGACAGACAAGTACTTAAGAATGGAGAAGCTAACATAATACATGAGGTAAACAAGTTAAATAGGGTCGACTCTCTTCAACTTTTTTCTACATTTGCATTTAAGCTGTTGAATCCTACTGTTGATTTTCAAGATCTATCGAACAAGTTTGTAAACTACGCCCAAGGCAATCCACTTGCTCTTAAAGTTTTGGGTTCTAAACTCTATACAAAGCCTAAAAGAGAGTGGGAAAGCGAGGCGGATAAGCTAAAGGAGTATGGCCAACCACAAATTTCACAGATTTTGAAGAGTAGCTTTGATGGACTGGACGAATTAGAGAAGAATATATTTCTTGACATAGCATGCTTCCTTAAACGGAAAGACCGATATGAGATAGAAGAAATTCTAAGTTGCTTGTATAAGGGTGTAGTGTGTGTAATAGCAACTTGGTCGACAAGTGCCTACTTGATATAACACCCTTTGAAAGAATTTCTATGCATGATATGCTTGAAGAGATGGGCAATGACATTGTTCGCCAAGAATGTAAAGACCCTACAAAGTGCAGTAGGTTAGGGAATCCTAAAGACGTGGTTCAAGTGCTCAAATATAATAAAGTAAGTACTAATTATATTTATATTCTTTTTATTTTTCCTATTATAATACTTGATAAACTTTTTTTTTTGATCAGGGGACTGACTTGATTGAAGGAATAAAGTTAGACATGAGTCAAATTGGTAACCTAAAGTTTCGTCCTACTGTTTTTGAGAAGATGCATAATCTTAGATATATTCACTTCTATTTTCCTCCGTTTAGTGCTGCGAGACATGCAGACCAAGTTGATTATAAGAAACTATATGCAGACGGAGTTGATAGTATATATCTTCCTGATGAGCTAAGGGTTCTCCATTGGCCTAATTATCCCTTCAAATCTTTATCAAGTTTTAATCCACATAATCTTGTCGTGTTGGAATTAACACGTGGCAACATAGAACAACTATGGAATGAAGATGATCATCTGGTATATGCTATTCCGTACTTTCTTCATCCAAGAAGTTTTTTTTCAAGAAACTACATCAGTTGATTTATTAATACATATATGCATGTGTACATACATATATTTTGAAATAATGTAGCCCTTTATATTTTCATTGCACAGGATCCTGCCAATTTAAGGAAAATAAACGTGTCTTATTGCAAGAATTTAAGGAAGATCCCGAATCTAATAGGAGCCATCAATCTCAAAAGCCTAATCTGTACGGAGTGTAGAAGCTTGGTTGAATTTCCTTGCCTCAATCATTTGGCATCTCTTGAAACCCTTCAACTTGAGGGATGTCTTAATCTCAAGAAGTTTCCTGAGGTCCCAACTCACTTTTCTACCTTATATTTGGGACAAACTGGAATAGGAGAAGTTCCTGATTCAATTGAGAAATTCCTTGGGACTTAAAACCTTGTCTTTGACAAACTCAAGGGTTAAAACTGTTTCGAGCAATATTTCAAAGTTGAAATCCCTTGAATATCTGAATCTTAGTGATTGCCCCATTGTCGAGTTTCCGGAAATCCCGTTAAGCTTAACAGAATTATACTTATCTGGGACTCAAATTGAAGAAGTGGCCTCATCTTTCTACATTGTAAGTAATCTTCTGCACTTTGATATGAGCGGCTCAAATATTCAAAAGTTACATTGCAATATTGTATTGTCTGGTTCGAGTTCGACAGCAATTCCAACAGTTGATGTGCCCTCAGCAACCTCAATGTTCAAAAGCCTTATATGTTTGAAAATGAATTATTGCAAGAGCCTTAAATTACTGTTGGAGCTTCCACCATATCGGCGGTTCTTGGCTGCATGTGGCTGCGAGTTGTTAGAAAATGTATCATTCGCAGATCAAAACTTGTATCAATTCGATTTTTTAGGCTATGATGATGATGTACTTTTCATGTTATTCTCTAATTGCTTCAGCTTGAATCAAGATTCAAAGGATAACATCGAGGCCAATGCAATGCTCAATATTGGGTCCCTGGCTAAGAAATGGGCATCGAGTTATGATTATGATTTCCAGCCTGATGTCCTACTAAAATTTTTTTGTTGTTTTCCGGGAAACAAAGTTTCAGCAAATAAGTTCGAGTTTCAGAGCTCGAATTCTTCGTTGAATTTGAAGATAGCCTTAAATGGGTGTAGTGGGAGGAGATTTTTGGTTTTTGCTATCTGCCTTGTGGCTGATCTCACTCACTGCAATCGCCTTGAAAATCTTGAATATATCTGTGAATATCAATTGATAGCCGCCGGTGGTGGTGATGAAAAGTTCAAAAGTGAACTAATTAAAGAGCAAGATTTTGAGTTGGACTTGACGTACAGGGGTGATCACGTGTTGATTCTATTTAGTAAAGATTTTGTTAAAGAAGACAAGAATTATGAGGAGGCATCATTTGAGTTCCACATCAAAAACTGCGATTACGGCGGTGAAGAAGTTAAACTCGATGATGTCAAGGTGGAAAAATGTGGTATACATGTATTTTACATAGATGCAGAGAGTTTTGCCGATAGTGCTGTCAAATCCGAAGAAATGCTCAACTTCGATGAGACATCCGATGGCAGTTTTTACTCTGCTGAAGATGGTAATGTTGAGGAAGTCAATGATGATGCATAAAATCGACTTTAACCATGATGGTGTCATCCAATGCAGAGGTAAGTTGGTTTCATTGTCATTTAGAAAGGGCTATGCCATTTTCTGAGAAACTGAAGCCTTGTATTTCTTCTTTGTAAATGCAGGTTTAGAAGATAGTGTCCATGAACGAAATTCTTCATATTAACTAATTTGGAGGAAGTCGGAGGCAACCGGAGATATTAAGAATCGTACAGAATTCGTTCAGCCTCGTTGTTTAGTTTCCAGCATTGGTGCTCATGCCATAGGCAGTAAGTAGAGATTTAATCATCTCCTATCTCAATACTCTCTGCATTTTCCTTCAATGTTGTCTTCATCCATTGATTTATGTTTAATATTTCCTTTAAAGTTGGTTAATTTATATGTTATTGTTAGAGATTGTGACCGAATTCTTCATATTAACTAATTTAAACTTTGGAATGAAGATGATCATTTGGAATATGCTTCCATACTTTCTTCATTAAAGAAGTTTTCTTTAAGAAACATAATTTGATTTACTAATATGTGTGTGTACATATAAACAATGTAATTGTGTAATATCGAACCTTCTCAAATGATTGAATAAAATAAGAAATAAAAAGGGTTCCGTTCTGAATGCTAAACACTTCTCGTCCCAATAAAAGTAAAATTTACATTTAAAAAAGAGACTCTAGTCGCTTGTTCCTTCTTTTTCACTTTGGTTGACAAGCAGTAACACCAGTCTTCGTGTTAGTAATTCTACCTTTAGGTGCGTTTGGTTCACGGAATGTAAGATTATCAGTGGAATATAAGATTAACAGGGAATAAGATTACTGAGAATGTTGTATTTTGTGTTTGGTTGGTTTAGCAGGAATGTAAGATTACCGTGTTTGGTTAAAGGAATAAAAGATTATTGGAATGTATATTTGACTAAATTGTCCTTATTATATATTTGTTTTTTTAACAAGTTGGAAAATATTTATATATATTTTTAAAAAAATTTAAATTAATAAAATTTATATTTTTTTACAAAATTGAAAATATAAAAAAGTTTAATGAAAGGGTAAAATTTTATTTTAACCCCTGAACTTCATATAAAATTTTAATTATAGACTTTTTTTTTGTAAATCTAAAATAGTTTAAGGATAAATTTGTAATTTAACCTTCGTATAATTTTTATTATTCAATGACAGAAGAATGATATTTTTGAATTTTTTTAAGGGTATTTTAGTCCAAAACGCCGGTAATCCAACAATACATAAGGAAAGGGAGGTAATGGCATTCCCGATAATATACCCCCAAAAAATCTACTATTGACCGTTTGGTTAGCCGGGAATGTCATTCCCGGTAATCTTACATTACCAATAGTGGATTTTTTGGGGTATATTACCTGGAATGTCATTACTTCCCTTCCTTAGGTATTGTTGGATTACCTATGTTTTGGACTAAAATGTCCTTGAATTTTTTTTCTTTCAAAAATATAATTATTCTGTCATTGAATAATAAAAATTCTACGAAGGTTAAATTACAAATTTATCCATAAACTATTTTAGATTTACAAAAAAAGTCTATAATTAAAATTTTATATGAAGTTCAGGGGTTAAAATAAAATTTTACCATTTCATTAAACCTTTTTATATTTTCAATTTTGTAAAAAAAATTATATAAATTTTATGAATTTAAATTTTTTTAAAAAAAATATATAAATATTTTTCAACTTGTTAAAAAAACAAATATATAATAAGGACAATTTGGTTAAATATACATTCCAATAATCTTTCATTCCAATAATCTTTTATTCCTTTAACCAAACACGGTAATCTTACATTCCTGCTAAACCAACCAAACACAAAATACAATATTCCCAGTAATCCTATTCCCTGGTAATCTTTTATTCCCACTGGTAATCTTTTATTCCTACTGGTAATCTTTTATTCTCACTGGTAATCTTACATTCCGTGAACCAAACGCACCCTTATGGTATGTTGTCCTCTTCTTTTATTGTATTTTTTTATTTTTTGAAACGTTTTTAGTCTTTTTTATCAGTCATTTGAATGTTCCTTTTGTTCGTTTTTCTCAGGGTTGGATTTGATCTCGTTGCGACTAATCAAGATAATGCTTATTGGATAGGATATCATGTTGATCTTCTCTACTTTGAAACTTTAGATTAGTTAGATACATGGTTTGCATTTATAGATAATTTTTTCATGATGCTTAGCTTTGATTTGGGTTTGTCAATGGTCTTTGAGTAGTTTGATCTCATATTGTGATTCGTTTGTCGATGCAGTCAAATCTGTTTATATCTATTTTTTCGAATTTTTTTCGATAAGTATTTTTACATTTTTCCTTGTATGAGATTATATGATCTCACTATTTTCTTATATCAATGATTATAAAAAAATATCTTAATTATATATTTACTTTACGATTATGATTATAAAACCTAATTGTTACTTTGGATTTTTAATAAAATTAGTTACTTTTATTATAAAAAGAATTTGCACTTAAAAAGTACTTAAATGCACTTGAACAGATGATCTACACGGACAATAAACAGTACTTTCGAAATATCACAAAAAGTGCTTTATTGGTGAAGACCAAAGGTGATGTCCCCATCTTGACGCCATTGGTATTTGAATCTATAATTTTTTTTAAAAAAAGGTGATGTCCCTATCTTTAAAGGTCCTTCTTGCCCATTGTGGAAGCACGCCCATTTTCTTAAGTATCGGTCCACATTGTTCTGTATCGGCATGAACTTTATCAGAAGGGTGCTGGAAGAAGACGTCGGGGGCATGAAGAACATTAGGCCAGGTTAGTCCACCGGCCGGTTTGCGTATTGGTCAATCCTTGAAGGCAAAGGCATCACACTTCTTATTGGGATTGTACTCCAAGGCGACATGGCATTTGTTGGAATCGAATTGGATACTTCCTTTGCGTCCGCAGTCGCCTTCTTGTTGACCACCCATACGCCCTTGTTGTCCGCGCATATCAATGACACTTGAGCCTCTGCAAATCAAACAACAATAACATATGTGAACAGATACGTAGTGATCAGTGTGATGAACTGCAAGTAGTGTGTGATTCGGTTATTACTCGGCTGGAACTCGGTGATTTCGGTGACTATTCTGGTACGGCAAGGGTCGCACAGAACTCTGCCCACTAAAGTAAGGCCATGGGCGATGCTAAAGAGGCACGAAGCTCATATTGCCAAGGAAATAATTGTGACCATGGAGGCTTTTGCCATTGCTTTTGCTTCTTTGTATGATTTGATTTTTGTGTGAAACAAGTGGGAATAATTTATAGGGGAGGGACTGAGCTATTTTGGGCTATTGGGGGAATTAGTCAAGTTTTCTATTTTGGGATTATAATAATAATCAAAAGGGTAAATTATATTTAACTTGATAATAATTTTGAGTTTTAGTTTTTTTTAAATATAATAATATCAAAATTTTGATGATAGAGATTGTAATCTTATCATGTTCAATGAGGTTACGATGTTTTAATTAACATTACTTCTCTCTTTCCTTTTATCATACAGATAAAATTCTACAGTTATTGATAAAATTATAGACAAATGAGGATCACTTTGACAAAGTTTTCGACAAATGTTGAGAGCGACTTTGGTAAAATTGTCAACAAATGTCGACAACTTACTCTAATTTTTCAACATATTGATATCAAATTAAAAAAAAATAAAAATAGATAACTAAAATAAGATTTTTTCCATAAATTAACATTAAGTAAATTTTGGTCCTTTTTCCCCTTAAATTCATCGTTCCATTTTATTATATTTTCTTATATAATTTTTTATTTTTATTTTTGTGTTTTTAATTTTCTTTCAGTTTAGTTCCTAATATATATATAAGGATAAACTATTCAAATAACCCCTTAATTATGGAGTTGGTATTGATATGATCACCATACTTTTAGTTTTGACAAAATGACCACATAATTATTTAAGTGGTTTCAATGTAGCAACTTGTCTTTAAAAACAAACGTTGTAGTTGATATGGTTGTTATTAATTAATGGTGAGTCAAAGGTCCACATTAGCCACACCATTTATTTTTGATGACAAGTGATTATATTGAAACCACTTAAATAAATATGTAGTCATTTCGTCAAAATTAAAAGTATGATAATCATTTTAATATCAACCTATAATTAAATGGTCATTCGAATAATTTATATTAAATTAAATTAGAGTTCATTTGAATAGTTTATCTTACATAAAATCACCAATAATTATTGGTAATTTTATGAAAGTCGGTTTTAACAACCAACGATTTCGTCTATACCATAAAAATATCCCTGTTTCTCTAATCATTCAATATAATCTTTAAATCTCTAATTCCTAATTAAACGTATAGAAACATAAAGGGCTGGATCAAGTGCATCGATGGAAGGCTGCCTTCGCTGCAGTCTGTAAATTAGAAGGGCGGTATATAGAAGGAGGCGAATTCGACAGGTAACTATATTTTCTATCCCCTCTATATATTCGACTAGACTTTATTTTGGATTTGATATATGTTTTGGTTTTGATTATTTTCTAAACCTGAAACTGAGCACATCAACGATATTGTTGAATTTGTTATGCAAAAATTGATGAAGCACCAAGTTTTCTTGAGCTTCAGAGGCGAAGACACAGGCCTGAGCTTCACTGCTCATCTACTGAAAGCTTTGGAAGAAAGGGGAATAAACGTATTTTCCGATAAAGGGGAATAATTTTCTCAAGCAGTATCAGTCTCAAATCTCTCAATAATTGTTTTGTCTGTCAATTATGCTTCTTCTAGATCATGCTTGGCCGAGCTCTATGAGATCATGGACCGAAAGGACAACCAAGGAATAATTGTTCTTCCCATCTTTTACCACGTTGATCCTTCCAATGTACGGATATGAATGGGAGTTTCAAAACATCCTTTGATGACTATGAATCAAAAGGGATAAACTAAGCACATCAGTGGAAAAAGGCCTTCACTCGAGTTGGTAAATTAAAAGGATGACATATAGAAGGCAGCAAATTCGATAGGTAACTATCTACACACACACACACACATATATATATATGTTTCATCTTTTTATATTTGAATTGTGTTTCTTTTAACTATCGTTTTTAAATCATTTCCCAGACACATCAAAGATATTACTGAATATGCCATAAAAAAGTTGAATCGCAAGTCTACAGGTGTTTCTGAAGACTTGGTAGGGATAGATGATCAGAAAAAGGTGATTTTGGGGTTAGTTGAGCAAGAAGACAGTAGTATAATAGGACTTTGGGGTATGGGTGGAATAGGCAAAACTACTCTTGATGATGCTGTATATAATGAAGTCTCTCCAACGTTTCGAAGTCGTTGCTTTCTTCAGAATGTTAGGGAGGGAATAAAAAACAAAGGGATGGTATCCGTAAGGAATGAACTTCTTTCCAAACTATTAGACGACAAAATCGAGAGACACCCCTTCCATAGGATCCAATCTTATCAAAGAGAGGCTGAGCAATAAAAGAGTCATTGTTGTTCTTGATGATGTTGATGATTCAGAGCAAATACATTGTATGGGTATTAAACATTTCGGTGATGGAAATAAAATCATTGTATCATCAAGAGATAGGCAAGTGCTTAGGAATGGAGGAGCTAACAAAATACATGAGGTAAAGAAGTTAAAAGAGAACGATTCCCTTCAACTTTTTTCCACATTTGCATTTAAGCTCTTGAATCCTCCTATTGGTTTTCGAGATCTATCGTACAAGTTTAGAGATTACGCCCAAGGCAGACCACTAGCTCTTAAAGTTTTGGGTTCTAAACTATATAGGAAGTCTAGAATAGAGTGGGAAAGCGAGGTGGATAAACTAAAGGAATATGCCCAACCACAAATATCCCAGATTTTGAAGACTAGTTTTGATGGGTTGGATGAGCTTGAGAAGAAGATATTTCTTGACATATCATGCTTCTTTAAAAGAGAATCCAAGGAAGAAGTAAAAGAAATTCTAAGTTGCTTGTATAAGGGGGTAGAGTCTGGAATAAGCAACTTAGTTGACAAATGCCTAATTGATATCAATTATGGATACGTCTATGCATGATATGCTCGAAGAGATGGGCAAGGACATCGTTCGCCAAGAGGACCTGGAAGAGCGTAATAGGTTATGGAGTCTCAAAGACATGAATCAAGTGTCCAAATATGATAAAGTAAGCACTAATAGTACTTATATTCTTTTATTTTATGGAATTTCCATAAATTTCTCCATTATGATACTTGTAAATTGTTTTTTTGTTATTAGGTGAATAAATCAATTGAAGGAATAAATGTGCACATGATTGAAACTGAAAACATACAGTTATGCCCTACAATTTTTGGAAACATGCTTAATCTTAGATATATGGACTTTTGTGTTCCTTGGAGATTGTTGGAAAATGAGAAGCTACTTGTAGATGGAGTCGATAGTGTATCTCTTCCAAATGAGTTAAGGTATCTTGGTTGGGATTTTTATCCTTTCAAATCTTTATCACCAAGTCTTAACCCAAAGAATCTTGTCATATTAAAATTATGGCGTTGCAACATGGAACATCTTTGGAATGATGATCATCAGGTATGCACTTTTATACTTTCTCTAATTTTTTACAGCCTAAAGTTGGTAGATGATGAATATAGATAATATAGCTATGTTGAATTTTCATTGCACAGGATCTTGTTTATTTAAGGAAAATTGACCTTACTGATTGCAAGAATTTAAGAAAGATCCCTAACCTTTTGGGAGCTATCAACCTCAAAAGCCTGGACTGTAGTGGGTGTGAAAGTTTGGTTGAACTTTCTCGCCTCACTCATTTGACATCTCTTGAAACCCTTCGACTTTCTGGATGTAGTAGTCTGGAGAAGTTTCCTGAGCTCCCAAATAACCTTTCTGAGTTGGATTTATCATTCACTGGAAATGAGGAAGTGCCTAATTCAATTGAGCATCTCTTTAGTGTGTAATTTTGAAAAAGAAAACATCTATGAGTTGAGGAAATGTGCATCGTATGTGGAAGAAATTGTCTAAGCCTCCAGTTGTATAGGTAATTACCATAATTTTCTGATTGCGACTGTCATTTAGGACTTTGGTAATCACATCTACTAGCCATTAAGAGAATCTTTAGATACCTTAAGGACATTCGTAATTTAGGACTTTGGTATCCTAGAGACTCTAGCTTTAGGTTGCATGCCTTCTCTGATGTGAATTATGGAGGATGAAAAATAGATAGGAAAAACACCTCCGGTACTTGTAAATTCCTAGGAAATATGTTGATTTCATAGTTTTCAAAGAAACAAAATAGTGTTGCATTATCTACCACTGAAGCGGAATACATTTTAGTCGGTAGTTGTTGCGCACAAGTTTTATGGATGAAACAACAACTTTTAGATTATGGAATTAAAGTTGGGACCATACCTATTAAGTGTGACAATACTAGTGCTATTTGTCTCACTAAAAATCCCATCCAACACTCTAGAACTAAGCACATTAAAATAAGCCATCATTTCATTAGAGATCATGTCACTAAAGGAGATGTAGTTCAAGAATCTGTAAATACTTTGCAACAAATAGCGGATATCTTTACAAAACCTTTAGATAAAGAAAGATTTTGGACACTTAGGAGAGAATTAGGTTTAACCAACCTACCTTGACTTAGTGTTTAAAATAATTTTAGCACTTTTAATTAGAAGATGAAAAATGCTTATAAAAATAACATTTTTGAATGCATTATATGCTAATAGTTAGGGGGAGTTTATGATCTTGAGTGAAAATTAATAATATGTTCAAATAAAATTTAAGGATAGATTTGATTGATTGAACATTGTTAATTTTCGAAATATGAGTTGCCAATACCATTAGAGCTAATTAATTTAGCATTCTAAGTGCTTAAAAACAGATTTTGACATTTTGTGCACAGTGTATCGATACCCTCGCTATGTATTGATACACTATGAATATATACCGATACATTCCTTGAATGTGTATCGATACACTCATGAGTGTACCGATACACCCGTCGGGTTTTTGGCTTTAAATCCCTAAAATTAACATTTTACCAAACCCTCAAAACCTAAAACACTCCCGCCGTTTTGCCCCCTCTACTCCAATCTCTCAATTTGCTCAAAATCGACATTTTTAAATCGGATTCCACTCATTCTTCAACTTCTAATCCTGATAGCATCAACAAATTCGTGCAAACAACATCTTATTTCACTCAAATCCGAAATTTTCAAGGTAAACTTTTCAAAAACACTACTTTGTTGATTTTTGAACATAGGACTAGTTTTAATTAGTTCTAGGTTGAAATAAATATCGGGCATTGTTTATATTATGATTTTAAACTAGATTCTACAACTGATTTCATCAAAAACACAAAAATTTTCAAAATTTTTATTTTTCGAAATAAAAAAAATTGTTTTGATTTTAAAATTGTTGTTTTTGATTTAATTATGTTGTTTTCATGAAAACTATACGTATTATGATTTTTCAAACATTGTTTTCAAAAGTTTTCAAAATTACCCATTAGGATTATTTTAGAGAACCTTGAATATTGCGGACTCATATTGAGTTTTGGGATTGATTTTATTGCATACATGTATTTTTTAAATTGCAGTTATTCCTTAATCCCATTCCGATTTAACATCATGTCCAAACGCCCTAGGTCTTCGTCTAGTCGGTCAAACCAACCACAAAACCAACCTCCTATTCCACCTCCAAATCCAAACCCAAACGTTCCTGAAATGACTATCTTTAATTCTTGCTTTAACGAACTGGTCGTCGAGAAGATCTCTACCATAGGTTTGTTAACTTATTCGAGTCATATAGAATCTGGGAAGAACGTATCCCCTCAATCCAAGCTATGGTTGATATGAAATTCAAATATCTTCCTACACTCAAAACTTGGAAATTTGATAAACTCTTTCAGCTCAAACCTGACGTTTATCACCAATTAGTCCGCATTTTCTATTCCAATGCGGTTTATGTCCAAAACGAGTCCCACATTGCAACTGTCAGTATTCGATCTCACCTTTTAGGCCAATATATTCATATTGACTCCGACACAATCGCTAACACCTTTGGTTTAGATAACGAAAAAGAAATTGTGGCTACACGTTATAAAGCCAAGGTTAGTGCGAGTACGTTAGTCGATCACCACGATCGTTTTCTACACTTGATGATCTCTTAGTGGTTTAGACCATCCGGAGGTAGATACTCACCCTTAGAGCTTTAGATTTATGGTGGATACATTGTATCCAACATAATAAGAAAATAAATTTGCCACAAATCATTTTTGCTGAGCTAGTAGAAACCGTAAACAACGTCCCGTTTAAATACATCAAAACCTTAGTTTACAGTTGTCTTCTTAGTAATCTGTTTATCAAATCCAATCTTAGAGTCCAGCTTGATGTAGCCATCACTCTTAAGAGCCAAATAAATTTCACAACCTTGCATAAATCGGGATGGTCCGGGGATAAGGATCAATGGGTTCGATCAACCCAGACAACACCGGGTACTAGCTCTTCACGAGCTGCTCCAGCATCGGCACCGACAGCTGATGATGATCCAGAGCTTGAAGAACTTATGCGAGATATCGATGATCATGTACCCGAGGACGAGTCGGTCCAACAAGAAAGTCCAATGCCTCTATACTTTCGATCATTTATGGAGACATTCGGCTTAAGGTTTGCATCCATAGAGTCCCACTTAACAGCCATGGGGGCTCAACAATTGGAGATTCAATGGGAGATGCGAGCTAATAACGAAGCTATAAATGAACGATTAAATGCGCTTACACTCGAGATGCGAGCATGTTTTCCTCCTTCTGATCCACCTATGGATGATTAGACCTTTTTTTGCTTAGTTTTCTTGGATTGAATTTGAACTTATTGTTAAAACATTTTGGATGTTTTAGGATTTGTGTGTTTTGGATTATGGATATGTTTGTGTGTTTGGTTTGAATATTTAATTTGAACTTCATGTTTACATTGATTAATTTTTGCATCATAGTTGAAATATGACCAATTACCATTACACATTTATGAATATTGTTTATGGACTAATGGCTAACCTTTCTCTTGATTGTGATCTTAGCAGCTTAAGCTATAATTATATAAATCAATTAGCTATTTTCTTAAAAAATCTTGTTTAAACGTTTATAGAGTCATTTTGATTTAACAAAAAAAGGGGAGAATAAAGTAAGGGGGTGTAGTAATTTTCAAAAATGATTTTCAAAAATGAATTTTAAAAAGAAAATCTTAGTTTTGTTATATCAAAAAGGGGGAGAATAAAGTAAGGGGGAGTAGTAATTTTCAAAAATGATTTTCAAAAATGAATTTTAAAAAGAAAATCTTAAAATTACTTAAATGTTTTGTTATATCAAAAAGGGGGAGATTGTTGAAAGCATTTTGATGTTTCGATATAACAAATAATGTACTATTAAATTTTAAGAAGGGACTTGATGTTTCGACAATGATGAGGAAACATCTCCCTTGGCCGAATGGTGATATGCCTCCTCAAATTGGCGTCAAATATCACATGTGCAAGGCATGGGGGTGTGGCCGAATAGTCATGGAACTCTATATCATGTCTCTTGGTGATTTAAGCCTCCATGTTTGCAATTTCTTCACCAACGTGCTATTGGATGAAAAGGCATCTTCATGGGTAGCATCATTCATGAAAGGTCACAATGTTTGGGAAAGGTAACCCTTCATGTTTGAGCTACTTCTGGTGTGAATGAGCTAGAGGTGAGCTGGCCATAGGTGACTTGTAGCATGGTGAACGTTATGGCAGCTCCTTGTGAAAAGGTACCTCTTGAGGTGGCAACTATTCGCGAAAAGGTACGATTTCACAAATTTTGACTTAGGACATATTTGAAGTGTCCTAAGTGGTGATGTTGATGGTGCAGCTCCCCAGCTGAAATGAGGTCATCTTGTAGCTCAAATCTTCAGCTCAATCCAGCTATGAGCTCACGGGCCTCCGGACAACTTTTCACCAATTGTTCCTTATGCTCTCCTAATCGTCCCTATGTGAATAGCCATTGTAAACATGATGCTGAATTGGATCACATCAGGGATGAACACAGATGAACATGGGTTGAATTTTGGGTGTTTGATCGAAAACAAATATAGTGTTTGGGTTTGGTGTTTGTAAAGATCAAGAGAGGGGTTTGAGGATGAACACAAATGAACAAGGGTTGCATTTTTGGTGTTTGGTCGAAAAAACAGGATAGAGTTTGGGTTTTGGTGTTTGTAAAGATCAAAGAAGAGTTTTTGGAATGAACATGGATGAACAAGGGTTGAATTTGGTGTGTTTGATCGAAAAATCAAACGATTTCTGGGTTTTAGATGTTTGTGGATGAGATTTCTAGAGAGAAGTCAGAGGACTTTGAGAGAAACAGAGTGTAGAAAGAGAGCAAAAATTAGAAAATGAGAACAAAAATTGAAAATGATCGAAATTAGAAAAAATTTGGTTTGTATGACTTAAAATTCGGGCCTCTTGATCTGCATATTTTTGAATTTTAATTGGCATTGTAGCATGGTCCCTATGTTTTAAATTTGTTCAATTTAGTCCAAAGGTAATGACACAATTTAAGCTTTATATTTTTAATTCTTTCAATTTAATCCCTATATATTTTTCAATTCTTTCAATTAATATTGTATTTATAAACTCTATATTTTATATTAATAAACTATAGTTTATATAGTTTATATTAATAAACTATATAGTTTATACATAGTATATATAATTTATACATAATATATATAGTTTATATTAATAAATTATATAGTTTTTATATATAGTTCATATAATTTATATTAATAAACTATATAGTTCATATATATATATATATAGTTTATATAGTTTATATATATAGTATATACATATAGTTTATATATATAGTTTATATAGATTATAATATAGTTTATATACATAGTTTATATATATATATATATATATAGTTTACATTAATAGTTTAAATATGTAGTTTATACACAACAACAACAAAACCCTATTCCCATATGCAATGGGGTAAGGGGGAGG